CTCATAACATTCATAATAAACTGATACTGTTATATTTACTTTCTTTATATCTGTCTCTGTCCATTGGAATTAAGTATACCCAGAGAAGCAGTTTGTCTTTTTCTTTAGTACAGAGAACAGTGGCTGGCATCTAGCATTCATTCACTCAGTAAATATTAGTTAAATGCATGGCTGGCTTACTGGTTCTTGTCCAACTGTTAGTTTCTTGATGTTGACCTAGTTCCTTCAACTCTACATGGCATTGCATAGTCAGTGTTTTGAACCACATTCTACAGCTGAATTACCTTTAAGTGGCACATTTGATCTTGTAGTATCGTATTATATTTGACAGAATTGCAAAGGCTATACTCATTTACATTCATTCATGTAAGTATAAATATTCATATTTCGCTTTCACTAAATATATGAAATCTAAGTATCTTCAGTGGCAATTAAAGGTTACCAAAGGGTTCAAACACTGGAATAAGGTATTACTACTACAAAGAAAAGTGCATAATACTGGTTTTCAAGTGCAGTGGTGGTTTCTTAATAAAATTTTTGAATTTATTAAGAACTCGTTTTGGTTTGGCTTTTTTATATCCTAGGATACTGTCTGCTTAGCTGTGGACACAGACATATTTTCTCTCAGTATATTTAAAGTGACATCTTTGATAGCTGCCACAGGGTCACTCAAAGCAGAATAGAAGAGTGCCTTATGCTACAGCTTGGTCCCTTGTTGAAACATTTCATAGCAGGCATGCTTCTCAGCAAATGTCTAGATGTGCAAATTAGAATGTGGTCTACTTTTTATGACAGTTGTAACACATACCATCTGTCTTTATAAGGTTGTTTTCATCATTAACTGTCAGTCAATTGGATGTAATAAATTCTCCCTGCGAATATTATTCATCAGCATCACTTCAGTTGAGTTTAAATCAACAGGTGAACAGCTCACTTTTAAAAATATGAATGGAATTTAAAAGGAATTATGACTTTCTAAAACATAACTATCAGAATATATCTTGTGGTTTCTCGTTGATCTTGTGGATTCTAAAACCAAACTATATTCTTTTTGATAATTCAACTATTGTAGTTTTATAAAATATTGACCTTCAAAAAGTGATAATTTAAAATATATAGAGGAAGGTGGTTTGTATGTATTTTTGTCAATCATTTGTGTTAATGTTGAGAGTCTGTAAGTAAATGTAGAAAGTAGTTAAAATTCACTGTAAGTTTTATTTGTAATATTGTTCAAAAACTTATTTTTTCTCTGAGGCTCACAATCCAGAATTATTAACTTAAAAATTAATGTGTTTCCTTACTTGTATTGACTTCAAGCTAATGACCCACAAATCAACAATCTCACTCTTGCTATTTTACTTGCATTCTAGCCATATTTTTACAACAAACTACAGGACATTGAACATTAGATTCCCCCTTCCCATGCCACATTTTCCAAATATTTATCTTCTTTTTCTTAAAAGTGACTCTTCTACACACTCTTCTCATTTCTTCAAGTGGTTTTATTATTGTTTCAGTCTCCTGAGCTTAAAAATGTACTTCTCCTTCCCCCTTTATTTCTGCCTCTTTCCCCATAGCTAAGAAGTCCAATTAGATCTTCTCTACAGTGTCTTAAGTTTGTGTCCCTTCCTTGCCAATCTCCTGCTGCCCATTGCAGTAAAGACCTAGATTACCTCATAAAACTATATTGGTTTCCCAGTTTATTGCTTGAATAAACATGACATTGCATTGAGCAGACATAACATTACTCCCTTCCTCAAACATCTACCATTTAATCTGATCCCATTTATCTTTAGATAACTTTGGTACCTTATCTATTTTTTTTTTTTTTTTAACCATAGATCACTGTAGCCTCAAACTCTGTGGCTGAAGTGATCTTCCCAACACAGCCTCCTGAGTACCTGGTACTACAGATGTGCACCACCATGCCCAGCTAATTTAAAACAAAAACAAAAACAAAAAAAAACTATAGAGATATAGAGATAGGGTCTCAATAGTTTGCCCAGGCTAGTCTTGATCTGCTGGCCTGCCTCAAGCAATCCTCCTGCCTCAGCCTCTGAAAGTGCTAGGATTACAAATGTGAGCCACCGTGGCTAGCCTCTTACTTATTTTTAGCATAAACTCTCCGCTTCAGCTTCATTTGAGATCTCTACTATCATCTCTTCCCTTTTCTCTCTGTATAACTACCTCACTGCTGGGGGCCATATTCCTGATCTAAATATCTTGATTTGCTGTGGACTTTCCCAGTTTTGTCCTTGAAAGCTTGTGATCCAAGAAACCCTTCTGCCCCAGGCAAAGGGACATAGTTGTTCTCTCTACCTACTTCCCTAAATCAATAAACAGATTTTTGTAAATTAGATCTGCTATGTTGTAGGCACTTCGTTGTAGGCACTTTACTAAATGCTAAGAATATCTGAGCAAATAAAAGACATTCTGTCTTCTCCAGTAGTTTAGAATCCATAGGTGAGATATGCAATTACAATATGATACAATACATTAGGCACAGGGGCACCTAGCTAGCCATGGGGATTCAGAGAAGGATTCCTAGGAGAAAGAATGCAGGAGAATGGATAGAAGCCAGGTGTAGTGTGGAGTTATTCTTGGACAGGAAAACTTCTGGCTAAGTGAAAAGTTTATACAAGGGCTAGAAGATTAAATGAAATGTGTATTCTAGAACTTCAAGTAGTTTTGTCTGTTTATAGTGTATTAGCAAGAGGGGTGGGAATAAAGAAGTGGTGATAGATGTGTTCAAAATGATGTCATATTAGAAAGACAGTAATTACCTGGCCATGCGATTTGGAATTTACATAGGGACAAATGGCAATCCTTTGCTGAGTTGTGAGTAGAGAAGTAACATAATGAGATTTAGAAAGGTCAGTTTGCACAACATGGATTAATAATGGTGAAGCAGTAAATATAAGACAGGAAGATGAAAGAACTAGGAAGCTATTACAGTGTTTATTCTCAGAGCTAACCTTTTCAGATATCCTTCCATTTGAAATATTCCACCAATATCTTCCTCTGCACTTTTCCCAAATTTACCTATTGGACAAGTCTTGTAAACTCATACTTTCTCCAGTCCTTTCCTTACTCTTCTAGCCCTCATTGATCTCTTGCTTTTGTGATTGTTATATCAATGGCCATCATCTTTTCATTTAACAGTTACCCTCTAATTTCTCTTACAAATTATTCTAGTCTCCCAGACATGCCAATTACTTGAAGACACAGATTATCTTTTTCTCACCTTAGCCAAGACAATTCACAAAGACAATGGTTTAAGAAAAAAAAACCCAAACCTTAAATTTGGGCTTTTTTATTATATTCCAAACGTTCAGTGCAAAAATATTAATGACATTCATTCAAAAAACATTTTTTATATTATATGTTATTTCAAATATTGTGATATCTCAATTTTAATTAGTAAAGTTCCTATAAGGAGAAAGTGACGTTTCAAAAATAATTGGCTGCTTAACTGTAGCTTCCTACTTCCAGCTTATACTTTCTCTCCTAAAGTTCCAATAATAGAAAAGGTAGATGATACCTTAAGATTGGAAACTGGATATATGCCTTCCTCCTCCTACTTGTAAAACATGTACATACTTTCTCTTCTGCCTCCTCTTTCTTTCAAACTCTTTCTTTCCTATGAATCAAATGGAAGGTCATGACTGGAAAGAAAAGTGTTTGTATAAATTGGAGAGACTGTGCTGCATGGGACAGGATTAGATCAGCCTTTACCTGCTCTATCATTCATTCAACAGCTGTCTGATGCCAGGGAGCTTTCTAAGCAGGTTCAAGTTTATATGTTCCCTTTTATTATTCTAAGTATATATAATAAAATCTACATAGCAGGATTGTAGTGAGAACTAAAGTTGGACGACATAGTTGGTACCCCCATGTGTACTAGCTATAACCATAATGATGATGATTATTAACCTGCATTATGAAAACTAGATTCATTTGGAAAAGTTGAGGATTGTGACTTTTCAGGTTGTGCTTCTATCTTTATTCAAAAAGGGCAACAATCATCAATGGACTGTCACCAGGGTTTTGGAGAAAAGTGCAATATGTAATTTAAAGGGCTTTAAAACTCTTTCAGTTCCCTTTCTGAACCATTTCCTCTTCTTGTTCTTATCTGCTTCACATACTCATTATTTTCATGTTGCTTTTTGACTAAGTTTATCTCCTCTTTGATAACTGTATTATTTTATTCCCCAAATTTATTTCTCCCACATCTACCTAAATTGGAATTCCTTTTTCCGATTACTGCATAGAAATATACAATATCTAGGTAAGAAATCATTACCATAAAGAGTAAATAGAAATGTCTTTCTCCTTTCTCTAAGGAAAATACATATTTTGAAAGTGGAACTTGATAAAGTATATAAATTGCTAATTGCTGTGTAAGTTCTAGGAGTGTCTTAGAGTTTTTAAATCTCTGTTTTCATTACTTTTTCCTATATTCCAATTGATATTTCACTATTATTAAAATGATTTTTTCAGCTTATAATTATAACAGTAGTTTTTGTATGCTTTTCACATGATTTAAACATTTTCTTCTTGGTTCAAATACCATGTTTCATAATGTTTGACTTTTTTAATAACAGGAAGTATTTTTCTGGTTTTTCTACTTTATTATAAAAATTCACCATGGTGGTCTGTGTTCACATTCCTTTGAACAGATTCCTCTTTACTTGAATTCTAAGAATTTGTTTTGTATATGTAGTTCACAGTTTACCAATTTAACTCTTAAATTTCTGAAGTATACCAGTTAGGTGCAGTGTTGCTTTTCATGTGGTTAGAAGTTTTAAAATGATCTGTGGTCTTTTTTAAATGTAAAGGAGAGAAAGCAGTGAAGGGTCAGAAATTTCCGCAGCTTAGAATTTCAGACTTTAGAATCTTATTATGAATTATGGTAAAATTGGTTTCTTCTTTTTCACACAATCTTACTTTAGCAAGGTGAATAAAATGATAATTCCCAAAGACTTTTTCTTTTTAAACAGGTGATCAAGTAGTCTGGACTGGTTACTATGGCTTAGTGTATAACCTGGTGAAAATTTCATGGGAACTTCAAGGAGATGAAGAACAGGATGGACTTAGAAATATAATATGGCAAACATTGCAGAAAACAAAGGATTATGAGAAAGACATACGAATCCAAAATGCAATCAATATCGCTCAGGTAAGGTAAAACGCTAGGCAATAAATATGTACATCTATCATTAGGAAGCATGGTTGTCATTTCTCTCCATGGTAAAAGGAATGTCTACATTCAGTGAGTATTAGCGACTTACAGCTGAAAATAATATTTTTAAAACTTAACACTGATCTATTTTTGATTAAAGATAGGAGAGTTGAGCTCTAGATGATAGTGTAAAGGCCTCCAAAAGTCTGTAATAGAAACAGAATTAAATTCATTTAACACATCTAGGGAAAAGTACACCTCAGTAAGGGGTGATTCCACCATAGAACTCTAACTTGGTGGGAAATTCTGATAGAATGTTAGGTACACTAGATTGAAGTAACATGTTAAGCCGTGATTCTTTTTCTCTTTTCTTGATGAAGACGTTTAGAAAGTAATGGAAGTTTTAAGGAGCATAACACAATCCTCTAATTTGAGGGCTATGTTAGAATGAGCTGTGAAAGAACTGTGTAGGGGTGCTTTTACTACCTCATAGCAAGGGCTGCCAAAAGAGGCAGGCTGTGGGTAAGATTCAAATAGTAGGGGTAAGGGGCGGTTTTATGATGTAGCTTTTTATGATGTTAGGAATCCAAAGACCTATTCTCTCACTTGGGCATTTCCTCCCTTGTCTAGTTCAGTGACCAGAAATACCAGGAAGAAGGCTGAACATAGCCATATTATGACACTAGACTAGAGAAAGGGTAAAGGCGGCCCTAACTTCAGAGATTTTAACACACATAGAAAATGAATAGATAAAGGTAAAAGTTCCTTTGCTGGGTTGCCCACTAGCTCCAAGACTCTTCCCTCTCCTCTCAGCCTGCTTGACTACTATATTTATATTTATATTTAGATATTATACTATATATAAATCAACCTGTATCAGCTAGCCTTCTAAATTATAATTTAGAAGCTTAAAGGGCATCCTGTAGTTAGTGAGAGGATGTAAGAACTTCTATTTTTATATTTTGGGTAATAACACATTAAACAACTACCATATTAAAGTAAAAACACACAGAAACATCTGTTTTTTTCAATGCTGTATCCCAATACACACAATAAGTGCTCAATAAATATATGTTGAATGAACAATCCAAATGGGTTCCCTTTAAATATTAAAATACATGCTATAACTATGTTTAATAATTAAATTTAATATTGATGAAATTAATGGCAAAATTATTTTAAGATAAAAATAAAAATCAATAATTTTATTATTAAAAATAACAAAATTAAAGAGTAACCTCTGCAATTCTTTGGAAATTAAACATGCTTTGATAAATGATATGGTTAGTCTATGTCCCCACCCAAATCTCATCTTGAATTGTAGCTCCTGTAATCCCCATGTGTCATGGAAGTTACCTGCTGGGAGTTAATCAAATCATGGGAGTGGGTTTTTTCCCATGTTTTTCTCATAATAGTAAATAAGTCTCATGAGATCTGATGGTTTTATAAAGACAATTTCCCTGCACACGCTCTCTTGCCTGTTGCCATGTAAAACATGCCTTTGCTTCTCCTTTACTTTCCACCATGATTTTGTGGCCTCTCTAGGCATGTGGAAATGTGAGTCCATTAAACCTCTTTTTCTTTATAAATTACCCAGTCTTGGGTATTTCTTCATAGCAGTATGAAAATGGACTGATGCAGTAAATTGGTATTGATAGAGTGGAGTGCTGTTGTAAAGATACCTGAAAATGTGGACACAACTTTGGAACTGAGTAACAGGAAAAAGTTGGAACAGTTTGAAGAGCTTAGAAGAAGATAGAAAAATGTGGAAAAGTTTGGAACTTCTAGAGATGTGTTGAATGGCTTTCACCAAAATGCTAATAGTGATGTGGACAATGAAGTCCAGAATGAGGTGGTCTCAGATGAAGATGAGGAACTTGTTGGGAACTGGAGTAAAGGTCACTCTTGCTATGCAAGGAGACTGGCAGCATTTTGCTCCTGCTCTAGAGATCTAGGAACTTTGAACTTGAGAGAGATAATTTAGGGTATCTGGCAGAAGAAAATTCTAAGTGACAAAAATGTTCAAGAGGAAGCAGAGCATAAAAGTTTGAAAAATTTGCAGCCTGCATCCCATTTTTTGGGAAGGAATTCAAGCCTGCCACAGAAATTTGCATAAGTAGCAAGGAGCCAAATGCCAATGACCAAGACAAAGGGGAAAATGTATCCAGGATATGTCAGAGACATTCCCAGCGGCCCCTCCCATCACAGTCCTGGAGGCCTAGGGGGGAAAAAAATGGTTTCCTGAGCTGGGTCCAGGGCCCCCCTGCTTACCGCCGTGCATCCCAGCAACTCTAACCATGGCTAAAAGGGGCCCAGGTACAGCTCAGGATGTGGCTTCAGAGGGTGCAAGCCCCAAGCCTTGGCAGCTTTCATGTGGTATTGGTCTTGCAGGTGTGCAGAAAACAAGAATTGAGGTTTGAGAACCTCTGTCTAGATTTCAGAAGATGTATGGGAATGTCTGGATGTCCAGACAACAGTTTGCTTCAGGGGCAGAGCCCTGATGGAGAACCTCTGCTAGGGCAGTGTGAAAGGGAAATATATGGCTGGAGTCCCCGCACAGAGTCCCCACTGGGGCACTACCTAGTGGAGTTGTGAGACGAGGGCCGCCATCCTACAGACCCCAGAATGGTAGATCCACTGGCAGCTTGCATTCAATGCCAGCCCATGAAAGCAGACGGGTGGGGCTGTCCCCTGCAAAGCCACAGGGGACAGAGCTGCCCAAGGCTGTGGTAGCCCACCTATTGCGTTAGCATGATCTGGATATGAGACATGGAGTCAAATGAGATGATTTTAGAACTTTGAAGTTTCATGACTGCTCTATTGGATTTCGGACGTGCATGAGGCCTGTGACTTCTTTGTTTTGGCCAATTTCTCCCATTTGGAATGGGCATATTTACCCAATGCCTGTACCCCCATTGTATCTAGGTAGTAACTAACTTGCTTTTGATTTTACAGGTTCATAGGTGGAAGAAATTTTCTTTGTTTTAGGTGAGACTTTGGACTCGGACTTTTGAGTTAATGCTGGAACGAGATAAGACCTTGGGGGACTGTTGAAAGGGTATGATTATATTTTGAAATGTGAGGACATGAGATTTGGGAGGGGCCATGGGTGGAATTGTATGGTTTGGCTGTGTCCCCACCCAAATCTCATCTTTAATTGTATGGCCCATAATCCCATGTCCAGGGAGAGACCCAGTGGGAGGTAATTGAATCATGGGTATGGGTTTTTTTCCACATTGTTCTTGTGATAACGAATAAGTCTCACAAGATCTGATGGTTTTATAAAGGCCAGTTCCCCTGCACATGCTTTCTTTCCTGATGCCATATAAGCTGTGCCCTTGCTCCTTTTTCAACTTCTGCCATGATTGTGAGGCCTCTGCAGCCGTGTGGAACTGTGAGGCCATTAAACCTCTATTTCTATATAAATTACCTAATCTCAGGTATTTATTCATAACATAAAAATGGGGTAATACAATAAATACTAGAAAGGAATTAATTAATCTATTTGTAAGCACTAGCCATTGTTTTGTGTGCTAGCAATACAGTTTTAGACAAGCAGATAAATATTGTTTTAAATATAAAGTTTGGATCAAGGAGACTGACAATAAACTTGCAAATTAATGAATTAAAATATCAAATGGTGCTATCTATACTATGAAGAAAACAAAACAGGGCAAAGCTACTGGAATGGGATCAGCTAGAGTAGGGAGTGGATGTTTCAGTTGGAGCAGCCAGAGAAAGGTTTCCAATGAGGCATTATTTGAAATGAGACCTAAATAATAAGAAGGAAGTATCCATAAAAAATATACCCTAGTAGTGAGTTTATGGATACAAAAATGTGTCCTACAAAATGTCCTCTAAGAAAATAATTAGTTTGGTGTGTTAAGAGAGCAAGAAGACCATGTGTGCTGGCCTCTGGTAAGGGAAGGAAAGAGTGGTAAGAGATGCAGGTGGGCAAGGAGAGTTGTTTTAAGATGGCAATAGTAGCATATAAGTAGTAAGCTCTGGGAATAATTTTTTAAATGTTTGTAAAAAATAAGAAAAAGTTTCAGTGGGAAGTACATTTAGAAAATTAAAGCATGCTATAAAAAGCATAGAACTGATAAATCCTAAAACTGTTTCCTTGGGTAAAATAAAAATAATACATAAACTGTTTTAGACTAGCTAATATAATGGAAAAATGAGGGAAACTTTTATTAATCACAAAATCCAGAGGGTAAAGGGAATGTGATTATAAGAAAGTAATTTGAAAATGATTATAAAAGGATCAGTTTACAACTGTATGCTAATATATGTGAAAATATAGTACAATAAATGATTTTCTAAGAAAATATAAATGATGAAAATGGATTGAAAAAAGGATATAAAAATCTTAACAAACAAGATTTAGAGAAATTTGCAAGTGACCTACTAGATTTGTTCATATGAATATCAAGGACAAGACGAAGATATTCATTAGTATTGCTAATATTTAACATAGTTATTGACACACTAACCTGTGCACTCATATTTAGCAGGTAACTGAATATATGTTGGGTCATAACTGGAGAATGTTTAAATCAAGTTTGTCGTACCAAAGCAGTAGGTGAGAGTAGCTTAAACACTTGGGAACAGAGAAGAAAATAATTCAGTTTAAATTCCAACTCCACACAATATCTTTATACAGATGAGACTTGGAACAAGTTATTCCTCAGCCTTAGTTTTCTTTTTTTTTTTTTGCGAGGGGGGGGAGTATTTCTAATGCTCACAGACAGGAATAGTAACTGAAAATCACATAAGAGACAGGAAAGCTGAGTGATTTTGAGAGCACAGACCTACAGCAAAGGTTGCCTGGGTTCAAATGGCTGTTCTACCACAGAATATCTAAGTGACCTTGGGCATATTTTTACCCCAGTTTCTTTCTCTGAAAATGGGGCTAAGAATAGTATCTAACGCATAGGCTTGTTATGATGACTAAATGAATTCATGTTATAAAACATTTAAAGTTTTTGGTAAAT